ACACACTTACACACATGTTCAGACGCTCCGATTTTCTCTCTCTCTCTCCCTCTCGTTCTTTTTCTCTCTCTCTCTCTCTCTCTCCTTCCCTGTTCGACTATACGGCAGGATTCTACAAATGCTTCCGTACCGTGTATATACGTCTCGCAAACGTCTCCCCTGCCGCGTTATGGAGGCTGACCGTTGGCACTCGTCACTCGCGGCGCGTGCCGCGGCGATGCTCACTGTACGACGTACGCTCGATTCGGCAACTTTGATTTACATCGGACCTAACGTCGCGCCGCGCGCGGTTTCGCTCGCACCGAACAACAACCACCACCACTACTACCACTACAAGAGAACAATCACCACCACCACCACCGCTAACACCGCCGCAGCCGCCGCTGTCGTGTCGTCTTCGTCGTTATCGTTGTCGTCGTCGTCGTCCTCATCGACGCCGCTACTGTCGTTGTCGTCGTCGTCGTAATCGTCGTCGTTTATGCGGGTTTCTCTACTTTATTTCTCTCTTTACTCTACAATCCGTATACGTGTATTTCCTCCCTCCCTCTCTCTCTCTTTCTCTTTCTCTCTACGTGTGGCGTGTGTATGTATATATATATATACTTTTTTTTTGTACTTTTCGCGTTACGTGTTTATACGTGTTTATCGAACGTCGTGAGTGTTACTGTAATAACATAACGACAGCGCGCCGGTTAACGCGGCGTGGCTACGGGCCTTTGCTCATACGAACGTTCTGCCACATCATGATGTTTAGTTCACTAAACTAACCACTAGCATGGCGACCGACCGACCGACCAACCGACCGACCGACACACACCGCGGCGCGCGCTCGTCGCTTACGCGCTTCTCGCCGCCTCTCCCGCCCCCTTTTTCCTCCTCGTCGTACTGCGACTCGGTTCTCTTCGTTTCGTTCCGTCACTATCCGTCGTTCTCTCCTCTACTCCACTTCGTCGCTAACTAATCACCCTTCTTCGCCACCGTCGTCGTCGCCATGATCGCGCTGTCGTCGTCGTCGTCGTTGTCCTCGTCGTCGTGGTGGTGTTCGCTTTGTCCCCTCATCGTGTGCGTGGCAATTGGCCACGTGACAACAGCGTCGCCAATCACGTGCGTGCGTCCTCGCGCCGCATCGTGGAGGATTGTGGACTTGCCTTTATAGCGGGAAATAAGTAAGCCGCGATAAATATCCATGGAAAAAAATGTTTACAGGAAAAAATACAATTAAATAATAAATTATTATGCGCGATGATCCACAAAATAATTTTCTTAACAAGTAGTCTAAGGAGGATGTTAAAAAGAGGCTAATTTTTGCCCATAAAAGTATGGACATGATATATTTGAACAAATTTCAATATTACTTACTTGCTTTTCAAGGCGTTCCCCAATTGTTACGAACTTTTTAATAATTTTATTATATTCAGGAAGTCAAAATCAACAAAGAACACTATTTCTTTTACTTACATTCTTTTAGAGAAAAATCGAACTTTTTTTAATATTCTCCAAAAAGGGTAGATTTTTTAAAAATTATTAAAATTATTAAAAAATTTGTGACATTTGGGGAACACTTTGAAAAGTACATATAAGAATATTGAAATTTATTGAAATATATATAATCATGTTCATGCTCAATTCAAGGTGCTCCCTATCGATCTCTTTTTATTAATATATTATCGTATTCAGGAAGTCAAAATCTATTTAAAAAAAAACACTATACCTTTTACTTACACCTTTATGCATAAAAATCAGCTTCTTTTTAACATCCTCCTTCAATAACTCCATCATCAGGAAGTCGCTTGTGTTTCTTGAAATAAGGTGAAAATTACAAGAGTGAGCAGACTTACTCCATATGTTAATCAATAAAATTAATATTCTCATAAATTCGCTCATTTTTATCATTTTTATCTTGTTTCTAGATACACAATTGACCCCCTAATGCATAGATAATTGAAAGTATTAAATTCTAAACTGCAAAAGTTAATAAAGAAAAAGGAGGCTACTCATCATCAGAGATCAAAATTGTATTCCTAAAAATAAAACGTATACCATATTTACTTAGAGATAAATATATATGCTGTTTTCTGTGTGATTCTTTTATTCATTGAAACAGTATTGAATACGATTTTTATAACGTGAACATGTTTTTTTTTTTAGGAGAAAGATACGTATGGAAACGAGGTAACAAGACTAGCAAGACCTTTGCCAGTAGAATATTTATTGGTAGATGTACCTGCGTCCACCCCACTTACTCCACAGTTCACCTTTTTCACGGATGATAACATTACTCCATTTCCAGTGGAGAACAGGTATTACAGACAAATACCTGTATATAAATGAATACAGTTTAATAAAGTTATTCATATAAACATCTTTATTTCAGGCAGGTCGATGGACAAGTTCAAGAATTCAATTCATTGTGCACTTACATGCAGCAATTTAACAGCGATCAATTTCTGGAGGCAACTTCTGATTTTCACTTGCTCCTTTTCATCGCTACTATGGACATGTATCCAATGAAGGTACTTCTTGCTTTGAGATTTTTCTATCTATACAGTAGCAATATGTTCATATATCAGTTACTTCAATTTATTATTCAATTATCTCGATTATTTGTTCACATTTTTATTACAGTGAAATTTTTATACTCAAGATTTTCTTGTACATACATATGAGACTAAAAATGCCTTTTCATGCTAACGGTCGATGCTCATTTTTAAAGCAGGTTAAGTGATCAAAATTGATTTTTGATATTCAATTTTTATCACGTGACCTCTTTTGATACTAAAAATGAGCGTCAAGCGTATGAAAAGGCACGTTTTGAATTGAGTTTGAGTCTTTTGTTTAAAACAAACTGCTTTACTATTGCTCTGCTGTGTAACTCCAATGATTGTCGATAATTATTATGAAATATGTATTTTGTTTTACAGGACCATATGTTGCCACTGCTCGAAGCTATTCGCAACAAGGACAAGCAAAAAGCATCGGAGTGGGCCCAATCGGAGCATTGGGCGACGGTGGAGCAACTGATATCTGTAACCTCCACGTCGTCGCGTCCTCCGCAAATGTCGTCTTTCGGTAACAGCTCAAGGACGTTGCCTTCCGTAACCGCGGAAGGCAGTGGAGGAATTGGCGTCGGTACCGAGCCGATCGCGAATCCACCACCCGACCAAGCTCTCTGGACCTGTTCTCATTGCACTTTTCTCAATGCCGCGGATTTAGCAGTTTGCGAGATGTGCAATCTGCCAAGGTACTCGTAATAAACTGTTAAAGCACTAACGACGAATTCAGTGTGCGTTTAAGAGGTGCTGTCTTTGAATCTACTACTTCGCTTCCGCAGGATCTGACGCGTAACGTGTCCTCGCGGATATAACGATTGTTTTCTACGCATCTTTGGCCTTATTTATGAGTGAATAAAAAAAAAGGAAGAAAAAATATACCACACAAGTATTTTCCAACTGACATATTTCCTTCCTACCAAGCTTCTCCCTGTGGCACATTTTGTTTTTATCTGCAGCCAGTTTGTAATCAATCTGATATAGATGGTTTAAATATTAATCCTAGCAGAATGTTTTGTGAAGTTCTGACTTGTAAATTGATTCTAAACAGATCAATGATATTTATTATGAATTTTTTATATGTTTGCAGAGAAGATGTCGAAGAATATGATGAAGAGATGATGAGAGATTTGTTTTGATAACAAAATCATGAGTTCAAAAAGTTCAGTCGAGCCTAATGATGCTACAATGTTAGAAATTTGCGTCAATATTTTGATATTAAAAAAATCAAAATCGCATGGATCTAATTGCTGATCATATATATTTTCCATATATATTATATACACGATATTTTTTCATAAATATTTAATTGTTATTGGTATGGGAAACACATGTAATATTTTGCGAAAGAATTCATTAAAAAACTGGTTATTGTTATAAATATATGTGTGGATTAGCAGGGTACATAATTAACTGATAAAAAGAAATTAAAGCATATGGGTTGTTTACATATATTATACATATCCACTTACTTAAATTATATTCCAAATAAAATTTTTCTTATTGTTAATAATAATTATTCTGTATCGGTATATATTGTCAACTCTTCTGTTCATATGATATACGCCTTCCTTTATTTTGATTCTTTGGTGGAAATAATGTAGAACCACTAATCTTTGAAACAATAATATCAAGAATATTAGAATTCCGCTGTTCGATGGTGGTGATGGCATAAATTTCTTTAACATGATTTTGATCTGTAAACTTCTTCAGGTTTGAAATGGATACTTTATCTCCCTTAACACTTTCTGAGATCTTCTCCAGCATGGCTTTTTCCTTGCCTTCCTTGTGTATCACTATCATCAGGAGATTTTTAACATCATCACTAATACCAAACTCATTCAAGGCACAAGTTATGCTATCCGACAAAGACATGCTAAATAAGACTTCCGTATTTATGTTTTTTGTAACCAGTTGATTTCGCGTAGCGTTGAGGGCGGCTTTATTGGTAGCTACCACCACTTGAAAAGTGTCTACAATGGTTGCGACATTTATCATGCAACAATCAAGCTTCTCGGTAATGAGTTTCTCATGTAATTCAGCGGTATTTGTAACATTGGTAAACAAAGACATCGTGCAGTATAAACCAGTCACTGGATCTAACTCGACGGTTTCATCAATCATGTCAGACGACATTGTTGACAGTTGTAAGTGACAGTGTACCAATCGACTCTGGTTGAGGACAACTGAGGATCTTCTGCTAGAAGATATGGCAATATCTGTAAATACGAATTACGTTTTAGTGATGACTGATAGATACTTATAGCGATAGATACTTATTTTCTCTTTTAGCGTTTTTCACTGGCAGAGCTGGTACGCACTCAGTACGCATTTTAAAGCCGTTGTACACAAATTTACGTAAAGATGTACATGTAATTAAAAATATAGAAACGAATTAAACCGCGAAATCCTCAATACATTTTATTGTAATATTTGATAAAATATACATTGGATATTTTATTAATTGAGATATCTCATTTTTATATTCAGATTAGGTTAGTATACAACAACTCTAATTTGCACTGAATGCGTACCAATTCTGCCAGTGAAAAACGCTATTTGCTGCACTATGAGTGCATATTAAAGTCGTACACAAATTGACATAAAGATATACGTTTAATATAAGTATAAAAACGGATTAAAAACGAATTAAACCTGCATGAAATCCTCAATACATTTTATTGTACTATTAAGTAAAATGTATATTTTATAATTCGAAATATTTGAATTTTACTTCTACCAGAGAGGTTAGGTTTCTCTCTGCTTCTACACAATTTAAATCAGTGTACATACAACAGCTTTAAGTCTGTTTGCTGCACTCTGAACCGGTGAAATTGTGGCGACTCGCCACCAGAGGTCCAACGGGATTCGCTCGGATTCGCGAAAGCAGCACAGTCACGCGATGTTCCTTTAAATAGGATAACAACTTAAATTGATTCTAGGACATCGAAGGCAGGGCTCACATTACAGGATCATCAAAATCCGGACCAATTTAAATTTTCCGCTATATTGTACCTCCGCTAAAGATTTTTGACGTCCGAGAAAGCCTGATGTTTTCTAGCAAACAGTCATATTCTTAAAATGGCCGCGATGTTGAAACCTAATGGCTACTGGACGGCGGAAACGTTTGCTGCGCGGCAAAATGAGATGCAGTAATCAATGAACGCCATTAGAAGCTATAAGCCTTATTATTGGCTACCGCACATTTTGTCACGCGACAAGCGTTTCCGCATCCAGTGTGCAGGAACCATGAATCTTAGCAAATACTCTAACATATTCCTACCACAGACTTTTCTATATACAATACTAGATTAACTCCTTAGGTGTTAGTGAAATGGATCCCGAAATTGCATAGCGTAGTTCTGCGAATACGTAACAAAATATTTAAACAAACGCAATATAGCTGTGTTTTGCATCAACTGTTCACATGCTAAAGCGGACAGCACAGACTCTTGCATAACGCATAAGATATAAGAAATCTAACCAATCAGAGTTCTTATTTTATGGAAAGGAAGGAAACGATGGACTTTTATTGGTATATTTTCTTAAGCATTACGTATTTTCTTATGCGTTATACAAGAATCTGTGCTTTCCGTTTAAACGTATAATCTTATGAAAGTGATATGCTAAAAATATTTTTTTTTTTAAGAGAAAATAGTGTAATTTCATAGCGAAAAATTTTGTTTTTTTGGAAGAGAAAAAATTCAAGTAAAACAGTAAAGATATTGAAAAGACAATTGAATATTAATAAACGTATATAAAAGATGCGATCTTATTCAATTTCTTATAAATTATAATAATTTATAATAGCTGGATTATAAGAAAACAAGTATTTGATGGTTTTAATACTGTTAAATAGGTTAACCTATTCATCAAAATAGTGTGCTGATGTGTGCGCATGTGTAGATAACGTCACGCGGTCACGTGGTTCTCGACGCATATGTATAATGTTACATCAAAATTGGGGGCCACTTTTTCAAACAAATTAGCAGTCTGATAGTATATATAGAAGTCTGTGTTTCCTACCCGTAAACATAGTATCTCTAGACCGAACATTCGAGGAGTGAAGGTTTTGCGCATGCACGAGAGAGAACACACTCGGTCTGATCATGAGCGCGTCCTTTTCTAAATGAGGCCCGCTCTCCAAATTTCTGACAATGCTCGGTCATAGAGCTTATACTACTGGAGTGGGAATACGAATGTCGAACTGTGAATAAGATCTAAAGGACAGAAATATCTGTTTATCCTCTTCTATTCTCTTTTGGCACATGCGCAGAAAGAAGAAAAGTTACTGAGCAGGATAGAAATACATCTTCTCTCAGATCTTGCTCATACTTTCCACTCATTGGTTGGATAGGCCATTCCTTCTCCAGTAGTATAAGCTCTATAAGAGATACTAAAGGGTGCCCCAAAATTAACGCAAGATTTGAATTAAATAGAAAACACAGTTTTTAGTCTTTTGATTGTTATTTTTTTATTGAATCATAAAGTACGTAGGATAGGGTTATTTGTGGAATAACACATCGGGCAAATGGCCTCCACGGCTTTGCATGCACATACGCACTCGTTTGTCGAAATTTTCCATGACCATTTTGCATAAATGTGGCTGAATTTCGTTGATGCAGCGTTGAATCTCCTCCTTTAATGCACG